TAACTTTGTGGTTAATTTAGGTCTCTGAGTTTGAAAGGCCACCATGCAGGCCTTACCTGTGCTAGTCACAGAGGAGCGTGTGACTACTTGTCATTTACTCTCTCCTTCGATCACCTGTGCCCCACCTCTTCCCACCAATCATGTCCCTCCTCTGTCCCACCACAGGGGGAGGAACCAAGTACCTGTACGCTGGAAGCAGCTGCAGCTTCCTCGCCACCTGCGGGCCTGGCCCACTCACCCACTGTGCTCAACACCCCAGTGCCCATGACCCTCTTCTCTACCTGGGAGGTGGACTGCTCCAGACCTAGCTGCGTGCCCAGATTGTGCAGCTTAACTTTAAAGAAGCTGATGGTCTTGAAGGAGCTGGAGAAGGAGCTCATCTCCTTGGTGATAGCAGTGCAGATGCAGAGCTCCAAGGGCATCTTGAGATCCCACGAGAGTGTGCTGCCCAGCAGCGGACCAGTGGAGACTGACCTGGCGCTGACCTTCTCCCTGCAGTACCCCCACTTCCTCAAGAGAGAAGGCAACAAGCTGCAGATCATGCTGCAGCAGAGGAAGTGCAATAACAGCCAGACCATCCTGGGCTACAAGACACTGGCCACAAGTGCCATTCACATGGCCAAGGTGATGCAGTGACCCCCTGAGTGTGGCCAGGTGCTGAGCCTCAGCAGCAGCATCCAGGGGTCCTCCATCACGGTGGCTGAGATCTGGATCTTCTCCCTGTCCAGTCAGCCCATCGACTATGAGGACAGCACCATGCAGGCCAGCCCCAAGGCCAAGTCCATGGATAGCTACACAGAGGGGAAATCTGAAAGCTTCACTGAGCTGGACGCCAGCTACAATCTCACACACAGGCAGGACCTGGAAGAAGCTGACTTTGACCTGGGGCAGCCCAAGAAGCAGCAGCGATGCATGCAACAAAACTTGAAGCAGAAAGTCATGGCACTGCTTCCCAGATCCAACATGTCAGAAGAGGTCCTGGACTCAGATCAGGACCCTAAGGAGCATGTCCCTGAGGTGGAGGAGGACCTGGACCTTCTCTATGACACCCTTAAGAATCCCAGCGACAGTGGCCCAGACATGGAGGACGATAGCAGCATCCTCAGCAACAACAAGCTCAAGACCAGACAATACTGTGAAGGCCTGGCACACTCCAGCTGGCAGACGGAGACGAGGAGCTTACACAGTGCCCGGAGGCAGAAGGAGCCTCCTCGGCCGGCCAACATGCCCATGAAGACCCAGGGCCCAGGTGGCAAGCTGTTCAGTGGCAGTGTCTCTGACTTGATGGCCTACAGCACCCCCACCACCAAGGTGGTCAAGAGCTGGGTCTTCTCCGTATCAAGCCAGACCGTCAACCACCTGGACAACACCATGCCGACCAGCACCAGGGCGGAGGCCACGGATAACTTCCCCGAGGGAGAGTCTGAGATCATCTTCTCTGAGCTGAAGGTCAGCTACAATGCCGCCCACAGGCATGACCTGGACGAGGATGACTTGGACCTGGAGAAAGCGATAGGAAGAAGGAGGTCCACAACCAGGCAACAGAACTACCAGCAGAGAGTCGCAGAGTGGCTGCGCAGGTACCAAATGATGGTGGAGGTCCTGGACTCAGAGCAGGAGTCTGAGGAGCAAGTCCCCGATGTGGACAAGGACCTGGCCCTTCTGTTTCAGAGGGTGGTGTGCCCCAGCGACAGTAGCTCAGACATGGAGGATGATGACCGTCTCCTAACCCCTCCCATGCCTGAGCTCATGACATAGTCTGAAAGCCTGTCAAGCTCAGATATAGAGGAGGATGACAGAGTCCTCAGGACCCATAGGCCCAGATTATACTTTGAAAGCCTGTCAAGCGACAGTGGCTCCTATTGGGTGGCCCACAGCATGCCCAACCCTGGGAAACAGCTGGCACAGCCTGAGGACAGCCCGGAGGCAGGGACCTCTGCCCAGGACATGCTCACTAAGAGGCGCACCACCAAGACCGAGTCTCTGGTCATCCCTTCCACCAGCTCCAAGGGGAAGCAGCCTGCCTGCCGGGGTTGGAGCAGGTCCCTGAATGAGTCGTCCAACAGCCTGATCAAGGAGCACTGTCCAGTCCCACAGAGCCAACTGCAGGTCCCCAAGAAGACTGTGTTCGACCAACTGCACCACAGCCTCATCTCCAACGACTGTCTGCCCGAGAACATCATCCTCATCAACACCTCCGACAGGCAGGGGCAGTCCCTGTCGGACGTCCTGCAGCAGCACACGCTGCCCGTCATGTGCACCGGCTCCATGGTGGATGTCCAGGAGGCCTTCAGCTCCATCATCTCCTGGATACAAAGATACCGCAACTGCAATACCGAGGCCACAATGCCAGTGAAGGTCGCCGTGGCGGGGGATCAGCACTACTTCAGCACCGTGCTGCGGGTCTTTGTGGAGCAGCTGTCCCACAGGGCCCCGGACTTGCTGGACTACATGCGCTTCCTGGTCATCCCGTTGGGTTCCCACCCCTTGGCCAGGTACCTGGGCTCCGTGGATTGCCGCTACCACAAACTCTTACAGGACCTGGCCTGGTGGGAACTGTTCTATCACCTGGAGGCCCAGGATGCTGTGCAGAACATTGTGTTGAAAATCAGAGAGTACATCACAGGGGCCAACTGTGTCCTCCAGCTGCCCATCGCAGAGGCCACGCTCATCTCTAAGCCGAAGAGTTCGGATGAGCTGTCCTCACAGAAGTTCATTCCCTTTGTGGGGGCAGTGAAAGTTGGAAAGTGGAGCCAATTTCAGCCACGTCAGGAGACTCAGCTGAAGCGGGCCCCTGATGCTCCAGTGTGCTTTTGTCCACCGCCAGGGAAGCCTCACACAAGCTAATTTCCTTGTCATTAGTGAGTGGGGGCCTGTCCTCCCCCAGCCAGAGTGTGGGTGCTGAGCTGATGGAGCTGCAGGTGGATTACTGGACGGCAGCCCAGCCCACAAACAGGAAGAGGAGCGGGGAGAAGGAAGACCTGCCTGCCACCAAAAACACACTCCGGTGCACCTTCCGGTCTCTCCAGGTCAGCAGGCTGCCCAGCAGCGGCGAGGCTGCAGCCACGCCCACAATGGCCATGACTGTGATCACCAAGGAGAAGAAAAAGAAGGGGAAGTTTTTGTCCAAGAAAGACAAGGGCACGGACTTGGAGTCCAACAGCCAGTGCATCCAGGGCATCGGCCGCTTGGTCTGCTCAGCCCAGAGCCAGGAGCACAGGCAGCGGGTCCTCATTGACGGCGTGGAGTGGAACGATGTGACGTTCTTCCAGCTGGCAGCCCAGTGGTCCTCCCACGTCAAGCACTTCCCCATCTGCATCTTCGAACACAACAATTCCACCTTCTAGCCCCGCCCCTCCCCCTGCCCTTCACCCTGCCTGGGCCAAGCCCCAGAGGACCCAGCTGCTTTCCTGTGAACAGTTCAGTTTACTACAGACACAGACCCTGGAAACACAGAGAAACTGTTTGAGTTTGAATGCGCTCACAGCCTGGAACCTAAGGGGGTTGCCCTCACTGAGACCCCCAAATGCTCTGTTCAATAACCAGAACACTCCGGCAGGTGGGAGATCAGGAGGGCAGTGTTGAGCTGGAGCATCATGGAAGGTGTGTTTTGGCCTCGGGATCTCCAGCACTGTCAGTAAGAGGGCTTCTGGCCTTGGAGACCTGCCCTTTCTGGAAACCAGGGCTCTGCTTAACCCTGGGAGCTGGCACCAGCCTGTGCCCAGACTCAGAGCTGGGCAGCCAGGGGCAAAGGGCTGGCCTCCCATTGGGGCATCTGGAGCACAACACGGAGGCCAGCCAGCCCAGCTTTGGACCCCAGTTGCCAACCAACCAAGTGGCCCCAGCACCATCCACTTATGGTTCCCAGTGAACTCCTGTCTCACAGGGTGAAATAAAAAGAGCTGTATGGTACAGATTACACAGGCACACGGGCTGGATAAACCAGTGCCCTCCTTGCTGGGCAGCGACCCACCTTCGTCCCTGCTTCTTCAGGTTATCACAGAACATTTGCTGCCACCCAACAGGTGTTGCACCAGCTATTTACAAGGTGAGCAACCTGCCCCTCCACAGCACAGTGGTCATTTGGCCACTTGCTGGCTGTGAACTCTCAGATCACTGCATCCCTCTGAATGTTTGTTTCTACGAACATGAGGTGAATCAAGGAGTAACGTCATAGGGTTTTTGTAGGGACCCTGTAGGGTGCTCCCCTAAAGCTTTCTCTGGGTGCCCGGACAGGGGATAGGTCCGTAGCAGGGACTGTGGTTGTGCTAATTGGTCCCTTTTCTTCCTCATATGTGATTCTTCTCAGGGCCCAGGGCTAAGCTCTTTTCTCATGTCATAAAGAGACTGGAGATTCTGTTATGGGTCCCTGTCCTGGCTGAAGCCAGAGCAGAAACCCCAGGGGTGAGCAGTGGGGCCCAGGGTCACCCAACTATCTGTGATGGGGCTGGTTTGGGCTCAGTCATTCAGCAAATATATCAGAGTCTTCCAGGTACAGACACGGCTCTAGGCACTGACCATAACCCAGTGCACAGAGCAGACCCCAAGCCTGTCCTGCAGAGCTTCCCTCTAGTTGGGAGCGATTCAGTCACACTAGGCTGCACAGGCTCGTAGTGTCCACAGGACAGTGGATGTGACATCGTCCTGGCCTGCTCGAGGTATCGCTGCATCTTCCCATGTGTTGAAGAGGAGGGG